CAAACCAACGTAAAGGTGCGTTACCGCCACCTAATGGAGGGTTGAGCAGTAAACTGGCAGGGATTTTCTTTTAATTCTCTCCTTGAAGTACTTAATTGTCTGATGGTATATGTTCAGTCCAGTATTACCATCGAGGTTTTCTATTGAAATGCTTAACTTTATCTAATTATTTATTGGATAGAAACCTGGGGACTGAGAACTGTCTTTAAACATACTCTAATACATCTGATTGACAAGGATATCAGACAATGGGCTGTGACTTCATTGCTTTCGGACAACGCTGATTGGTTAGTCCACGTTTGTGGTCCGTCCTTGGTGGTGTGTGTGTTCGATTATGGATGCGGGCTGCTCCGGACGAGTGGAGTCTGTGCCCGGAAACAGTTTATGAGAATTTATTTGATTGACTTTTTCTCTATTGTGGTTTGGCTTCTGCCCGTTTATGTGAAATAACAAACTCATTTAGATAGTAAGATTTTGCAGAATTAAAAATGATTTTTATTCAATGGAAATATGCCAGAAAAGTTGGTAAATTACCTTTAACTAAAGTGCATATAAAAATAATTTAAGTCAAGCGACATAATATACCTAATTCACATAAAACATTAAGAAAAGTATAAAAACCTTGCTCTCCAGACATAAACATGATTCCACTGTACCATATTCTTTCTCCAGCAGGTGACAGTGAATGACCATCAACCACCATGAATGAGCCCGGTTATCTATTTAATCTGACAACAGCCCTGTGTTACCATGTTGTGTCTATGGACAGATTAACAGGCTATAATTTGGGTAAATCAGGTCCTTGACTAAGGTCTGACTCTGGTGGTGAATAATTTGCAGGAAGAAGAGATTACCTAATCATTCACCGTGCCTCTCCAAAGTTCACAACACCATGAATAGTGCATTCCCACATTACAGACGTTATACGGTGAGATTACACTGAGAACAGAAGGTCATTAGAACAGGGAACATTGTGCCAGTCATCAGCTGACTGTGTGTAAGCAAACCTCTTTTTCCTCTTGGCAGCAAAGGAGTGTATGAGTGTGCTGCAGTTTGTGTTTGTGTAGACAGTATACTGGTATGTGTAGTTAGGAAACAAGGAGGTGTGCGTGTTCATGTGAAATAGATCCACTCTGATCAGAAAACAGCTACAAGGAGTCCAAATCAAATTTGTGTGTGCTTAACCTGATTGTATTCCCCAGACACTCCACCCTCTCTCTCTTACTTTATTTCCCACGATTATTTACAACAAGTGGTTGCAAGTGGTGCAGAAAGTGGTTCTAAGTGGCCTCTGATTAATTTTGCATAACCTGTAAATTATTGTGGTTGACGATCTTCTTATTTACTATTTCCATGTTATTTTTCTGTCCTATGTTTGCTGCTACAAAACATCAGACAACATAATTTACCTCATCTCATGGAGCCACATTAGGAGCTTGCCAGAGACAAAGGAGCAGCAAGAGGATGCACTGAATAAACTATGAGAGCAATCCTTTAGCTGTAATGTAACTGCTTTGGCAGATGGAGAGCAATAGGATGTAGGTTTGTATTTTATGAGGAGGTGAAAAAAAGAGCAAGAGTTGAATGAGAACATCTTGATATGACTCTGAATTTACAATAAAATTTAAAAACTTTTGAAAAATCTACATTAAGATTATGCAAATGTGCTTCCTCCCTAGACACAAAATATCTTCCCTGAAAAGTCAATTCTCACTATGTGTGCACTGGATATTTCAAATTTACAAATCTCACATAATTCTGCTCTCACACCTCTGTACTCATCTTAAAATCAAGTTTAAGGTGGCCTCAGAGAAACCTCTGTCGTTCAACAGATGACTATCAAAAGAGCCGCCTAGTGTTAGAATTTTAGTTACCCTCCATTCAATTCTGCTTATTGTGCTAAACGTCTGAGCTTTGCTTTGCAGTTTAACATTTAAATGTGCCATTTTTAACCTTGAGAAAGGTGCTTTTAATTAAATAGAGCTTTAAGAAGGAGACTTTGTGAGCTACTCAGTTCCATATTAAACAATGAATGAAAATGTATTTGCCCTCCCCTTAAAGCAGGTCAGCAGCAAAGCTAACTGAACAAGAAACCTTATGTTTACACTACAACAATATCTTTCCAAGGTTACATCCTTTACTTTCTCCCTATCACACACACAGGTGGCCAGCAGTCTGGCTTCCACAGTGACCTCTTATCTTAAAAAAACCTCAAATTATGTGACGCTGTGGGACATGACTGCTCTCATCTCCTGCTTGGCCTTTACTGCACAGACAAAACTTGTTGGTCCATCACCCACACTCTGTTTAGCTGGACTCTGTAGTCTGCACCACAGCCACACCTCTGTGTGTGGTTTCTTATCTTAGTCTATCTTACATATCTGACTGTTTAAATAACACATCAGTGGTGCCATTCATTTACTCAGACTGTTCCCCTTTGCTGATCCAGTCTCTGATATGCAATGGCTTTTGCAGCTGCTGCAACATTTTCCTGAGATGCAATCTATACCTTTATAATTACAGTGGAGTTGTGCATCTCATCGCCACACTACTGACTGGAACACACTGTAGCATTTAGCTCTGCCACACCAGTTCCCTTAATAATACAGCTCAAGCCTCACTGTTTTCTCTGGAGAAATCAATGTGTAAGGTTGTTTACAGGGTGCTCTGTTGTCGCTGCAGTCCAGATATGAGGAACCGGTGCATTTTGATCAGATTTGAACAAAATACAGCTACAGAGACATCACATTTTGTTTCAGATTTTGGTTCCGCAATCCTGACTGATGCACAGAAATACACTCACTGGCCACTTTATTAGGTGTCTTTATATTCAGAGGGGTCTTTTGTCCTCCCCAGCTACATACATGAGAGGGTTAGAATATTAGAAACACCTCTGAATATAGTGTAGCTCAGTAGAACACCACTTTTAACTATGACCTCAATATTAAACATATATTGAATTTATATATTTATGACAATTTCACCAAAAATTGAAACATTTTCATATTCATAAACACAGATGTTATAGTGGAAGTGTTGCATTGAATAGCAGAACTGATAACTAGCCTGGAGCTAGAACATCCTGATTCTCCACTCATTGTTCTAGGGGACTTTAACAGAGCAAATCTCAACCACGAACTGCCAAAATACAGACAGCACGTCACCTGTCCCACCACTGGACCACTGCTACACAACAATAAAAGACGCCTATCACTCTGTCCCCTGCACAGCCCTCGGACTCTCTGATCACTGTATGGTCCATCTTATTCCAACCTACAGGCAGAAACTTAAAGCTGCAAAGCCTGTAGTCAAAACAGTGAAGAGCTGGACTGAGGAGGCTACGTCAGAGCTACAGGCCTGCTTTGACTACACAGACTGGAGTGTATTTGAGTCTGCAGCTACAGACCTGGATGAACTCACTAACACTGTGACATCTTATATCAGCTTCTGTGAGGATGTGTGTGTGCCCAAAAAGACCTTCTTCACACTCATCTTCAACAGGTCACTGGAGCTGTGTGAAGGCCCCTCCTGTTTCAAACACTCCACCATCATCCCAGTCCCCAAGAAACCCTCCATCAGTGGACTGAACGACTACAGACCTGTCGCCCTGATATCTGTAGTTATGAAGTCCTTTGAAAGACTGGTGTCAGCCCACCTGAAGGACATTGTTGACCCCCTGCTGGACCCCCTGCAGTTTGCCTACCGGTCAAACAGGTCAGTGGACGATGCAGTTAACATGGCACTGC